TCATCATCATCATCATCATCATCATCATCATCATCATCATCATCATCATCATCAATAAATAAAGCTTTGAAAGCTTTGCCAAAAGTTTGGGTTTGAATGCAGTAAAAATCACTGGAAACACCAAGTTGACAAAGTTCTTGAAAATGAACAGGTTAAGATCCAAACAGGCAGATATCTGGCCCACAACATGTGTGACATCACTCTTGTGGAAAAGAAAATAAATCTGGTTCATTGATATTGCACTACCAGGTGATGCATGAATTGAAGAGAAACAGCCAGAAAAAAAACAAAATACCGTGATTTGCGAATTGAAATTGAACAATTGTGGAGAAAGAAATCAATGGTTATACTAATAGTAATAGGAGCCCTTGGAGTGATACTCAAAGGGCTGCCTAGACACATGGAAATTTTGCACTTCTTAGACCTGAATATTCTGACTTTGCAAAAAACCACTTAACTCAAAGCTACTCATATATTCAGATGATACTCTAACAGCATTTAGGTCCTTGGTTAGAATTTGAACTGTTTTGTTTTTACCAGTCCCAGACTGTGAATCAAATTGAAGATTAAATCAATAATAATAACAACGCTCCAGGTTTGTATTATTGATAATGTATTTCTATATCAAGAGAAAAGCAATTTGTGGATAATTAACATTATAGATAAAATTTACTCCTAGGAATCCCAGTAGATCAACTGTTTGCCAGTACACTAAGATAGGAATACCTAACAGAAATCACAAAAGAAAGCTAATAGAAACATGAGGTTACAGGAAAACGGAAAGTCAATGTTGAAATACTTTACACATAGGATTTTAGTATGACAGAAGATTTGTGGAGGGAGAATATATATTCAGAAACCAAATCCATTAAAAAAATTAACTACCAAAGGCATTAGACTGGCTGATAAATAGGAAAGTACTAAGACTTAGTTGAAACACCAGATGAACTGTTTGGCTCTGCCTTGTCTATTTGTTCTGAGCCATGTTCCAGCAAAAAATTGTTCCTTTCATCTTAGGATTTAACCAGAGGTAGGTATGACATATTAGCTAGCTTATGATACAACTTCGTGATGGACGAGAAAAATCAATTGTACTTGGCAAGGCTGTGGCAAATATAAATGGAAGATGATGGATAAGGTGAATGAACAGAATCAAAGAAAATTCTGCTAGAACAGAGGTGTCAAACTGGCGGTCTGTGGGCTGGATGCATCATGTGCAGGCCATGCCCACCCAGGCTCTACAAAGGCAAGAAACGTTGCAATACACCATGTGACATCATGTGATGCAATCAAGTTTGACACCTGTGTGCTAGAATGACTTTGCAAGAGCAGGGGATTATCACCAGAGACAGGTTGCTGGGTCCTTGATGATATGATATTACCTAATGAAGTAATTGACATGTAGCATAAAAATCCTCCTACCAACAGGGGAGTTTAAAAAGTCAGTATCTATCCTTAAAACTGTAAATAAAACCTTGAAACTATTTCCCCAAAGTTTGATGAAATCTCAGAGGTAGTGTCACTTCTTGTGATCTTGGTGCTATCCCTCTGCTGATGCATCCTAGGAATGCATTGTCTTTTTTGACAACTGCAGTTCATTGCTGGCTCATATGTTACAGCTCTGTATTCTCTTATTTTCTAAATATACTGGAGATACCTACCTTAAAAGCCCACCTGGTGGAGAATAAGCAAAGCACTTTAGAGATGGATACTGTGGACGTAGTAGAAAGGACAAAATGGCTGCTGTGCCCGCTCCTAAGGAATGGCCAACTACAATTAGGCCATAATGTTTTGTTCCTCTGCCCTACAAAACAAAAGCCTTTTAGATATTTGAAGGATTAAAGCATTTCCATCTATTTATGCAGTTATCTGCCATCTTTTTAAACAATTTCTCTCAAACCAGTGTAAAATGTATGTTTTAATTAGCATTTTTCTTAAAACACTATTTAATTATACCATTCTGATAGTAACAAATTGCAATGTAACATTAAAGAATGAAAAAGTAGGGAATAAAAAAAAAGTGGCATTCAGTTTTTAAAAATTAAATAGAAAACCAAATAAAATAAATATATAGTTTCTTCCAAAAGCCAATGAGAAACTTCCAAACGTTCACAAATAAAATCCCTTAATCTTTGCAAACATAAACCGTAGTCTTCTAATAAATTTGCTACAATTGCTCCTAGTTTTTTCTTTAAAATACATAAATTGATTTCAAATCTTACAAAGTTTAAGTAAATTTAAATGAATTTAATCATTACTCTGAATTAAAATGATTTTTTTTCAATAACTATTACTCAACTTTATAGGGGGGAAACTTGTTTTCAGATGATGTTTTTGAATTTTACTGACAAATGTTTTCTAATAGCAAATGAAAAAGGACTGTTCAGGGTTGCACAAAAGCCATTTGCAGGCAACTGATCACTTTTTCATTTTCTAAACAGCATACTTAGCATGAATAAGAAATCACATTGTTTGGGAGATGGATACTTGTGAAGGCTTCTAATATTTTAATAAGTGATTAATACATTTTACTTTATTTTTAGCATTGTAATAAGGAACCTTTTCATCAAATTTTAGTGGTTTCAATTAATTAATTTGAAAAAGTATGTTTGATGAATGAAATTAATGTCAGCAATATTTTAAAATTTATAAATGTTTTTTAAATGAATTTTTAAATCTTTAAAAAGATTCTTTCAAGGAATTGTTTTTTAAAATAGTGGAAAATGCTGGATGTTTTTAAATTGTAGCAGTATTTCAAATACTTTGGACATAGTGTTCAATAGTTAATAGAAAAACATAGAGCTATGACTCTACTTTCTGAACATAAACAAAAACTTACTAAATCACGCCCAAAAGCCTGAGACAACACCATCTCCTGCTCCAGTTTCTTTTTTATATACTCAGCAGATAGCACCATCCCCTAAAAAGAAACAACAAAGAAAACATAAAATGTGAGTTTTAACCAAGTTGAGCACTATGCACCAGCATTTTAAAAATTAGGTATTAATTCAAGTGACCGAGGCAATGTGACTCTTTCCTTCTTCAGTAAAATGGGAAATCCAATGTTGATAAGGGATCAAAGAGACATGTTATATTGAGCACCACTTCTAAAGCTTAGTAGCTTATACTAGTTTGAGGAACTCAGATTTCTTGGACTTCCCTATAGTTTGAATCAATGGGAAACGAACCTGGGAGAAACAGAGATACTTTGATTAAATAGTTTCAGTTCCGATCCAAACCCTAGCCTGTCACAATTTTGTCACTCATTGCCACTGTATTCATGTTTTCTACATTTTAATTTGCATTCTTTTTTAATTATTCTACTTTTATGGTATACAATTTGTTCAGTGCCCGATGCCCACTGAAGATGATACATATGTGTTGAGATAAATGAAAAATAAGGTATCATGGGCAGAACTATAGCTAAAGCTTTTTCTATTAGTAAGCAGAGCAACTTAGAGACAAACTCCTTTACCCAGATGGAGAAGCACTCTGCCTCTTCCTAATCCTCTCTGACACCTATCTATATGGCATAATGTTGCACTGCAATATTTATTACAGTTTATTAAAGTATGCTTGTATAGTATGTTACTGAGACTGTCAGGGACTCCAGAGAGTTTACAACAATATAGAAGAGGTGTCAAAATGGATTTCTTTGTGGGCCAGATCAGCATTATTCTCCATCGCGGGCTGGCCGAGGGGTGGGGGGGGGGAACGCCTCGTGCAGCACCCTGCCAGCCAAAACAGGGGGAGTGCCCCATTTTGGCCAGCAGGATGTCACAGAAGGCCATCCAGTCTGAAAAAGGAGTGTGAGGGGGGCGGCTGCACAGCCCCCGCCCCATTTTGGCTACCAGAGGCATTGTGGGCTAGTCCTTTTCTATTTCCAGGTCAGCCCCATGGACCAGATTTAAGTATCCTGCAGGCCGCATCTGGTCTGTGGGCCTTGAGTTTGACACCCCTGATTTAGAACAATTAAAAATCTACAGTTGTGTATGAACAAAATATTCACAGTAAGAATTGCAGTAATTTAAGATACTCCAACACAATTCTGGTAATGCTACAGACTAAATTAAAATATAGCTATTTTCAGTAAACCATCCGAATAATCAGAAAAAAATCCTAATCCCAATAATCGTTCTAATTGTATCTGTGTTCCACCATTATCTGGGGCCAGTTCAACTAATGAGAAGCAGTTCCATAGGTCTAAGACGCTGGTTAAAAAAAACAGCAACACCAGCATTGGCCTAGGATGAAAGTGAATCCAGCAAATGTACAATCAGTGAGATGCAGAAGTGTGATGGGATATGATTTTGTTGTAAGGTGTGTTGGTTACATTTATTTTGTTTATATGGAGTATTATTGTAAGACAGTTAGAATTATTATGCATAAAATGGGCATCTACATTTGCTAGATAAAAAGCCTCAATGTTTTCACTTCATGAAATTGGGACACAATACATCTCTTGGCATGAATATATTGGTTCAATAGATTATGGCTGGTAAGGCAGTCCTCCATAATGTTAAACCATTAAAGGCTTTGTCAATTTAAATCAGCATTATTGATTGTACCCAGAAATTTGTTAACAAGTAAAACAGATCTTGAAGAGGTGTACAACATGTAGAGACCAATACTTGGACCATTGCATTCATGACCTGTTGAAGTTTGCTAATCAAAATTGTCTAGCCCCTATGGGACAGTTTCACCCCACCCATGCCGATGGAGGAGGCATTCTGCAAATCTCGTCAGTCAAGGAATTCTAGTTGGCAGGGTCCAGGCGAAGAGCCTCTTGTGGCCCCAGTCCTTTGGAACATCTTAACCCCTGAGATTGGCTCTGTAGTTAATTTGGTTGGCTTGGTGGTGGTTGGATCAGCTAATAGCAGCTCCTATCTTCCTCGTGCTCCTTTCCTTCCCATCTTTTAGTTATTATCTGTATTTCATTGTGATTTTATACAGTGGTGTATATATATTTATGGTTTCATTTTGATGTTGTATTGCTGCCCAGATTTGCCTTGCAGAGAGAGGGGCAGCAAACACCTTTAATAAATGAATAAATAAAATATATTGAATTATTTATTCTCAGTGTAATTTAGGAATATTAGGAATGGTATTTAAAACTGGAAAGTTAGGTAGTTAACTTGGAAGCTGCCTGTTAATAATGGCAAAAATAAGAAAGAAAGAATGGCTGTACTCTGAAATAGGAATTGACAGCTGTTATAATTCAAATGGTGAATGTTACTTTTTGCATCTATAAAATGGTAACTAAAAAAAAAATCCTTTCTGTATCCTTCAAAAGGATTTATGTGGTGATAGCAAGGCCTTCCACAGGGTAAGGAGAAGGGTTGGAGATAGCTATAGCAGAATACACTTAGCAGATGGAATCAATTATCAAGACATAGGAATGCACTGGCTGGCATAAGAATGTCAAATTCCAAAGATGGAAAAAGTAATTTAAGATTTGTGTGAGTGCATTCAGCAGATGTCACTTGAAATGGTGCTTTGTAATTGCTTTTACATAATCCTTTCAGATTTACTGACTATGGATCAGAGGTCAGCAGATCTGAAAAATCTGTATTATTTTTTAAAAGAACCTGGTTATGGGTACTGGTAACCTACTGGCATCTGCAGATTCCTGGATTTAAAAAAAAATCCGAATGATGTTAAAATATTTGAACTTAATGAAACTCAAAGCCCTTCTACTCAAAATCCATTTTTGTAATCCCTCCCCTTGCTTTCAGCACTGTCATTCAAGATGGGAAAAAACTTTATTTGGAGTAAAAAGTTCTTGCTGAGCCATCACAAATCATCCAGAAAAACAAAGCAGTTCCTACTTACACTTGTACTGTCAAACATTTTATCATTTGTAAACTAGTTGTACATGTTTGCTTTTCTTACCTCAGGCTTTTATAATTTTTGACTTAGTTTCTCTTAATCTTTTAATACAATAATGTTTATTTTCCATAATCCAAGGTAATAAAGGTATGTCTAATTATCAATATATAATAAATATCAATATATAATAAAATATTCTACACTCCTTGAATCTTTAAAATTGTCTTCTGTTACAGAATTACGTGCTCTACATGGGGCTGCCCTTGAAGAGTGTTCGAAGACTTCAGTTAGTCCAGAACGCAGCCGCGCAAGCGATTGTGGGT